GGCTCCGCTCGCCTGCCGCAATGCAAACTCTTCCCAATGGAGCAGTTGCAAGTGGGGAGACCAGATGCCCATGCCGTGCTGCTCTGGCGTGGAAGACGTCCTGCTGCCCTGGGCAGAGGGATGCAGGGCCATCTTTCACCTCCACAAAACCAAACAGTCACTGTCTGACCGGCACGTGGTGTTGGAGGCTTGCATGATGCTGCCTGGCGTATCGGTACCCCCCAGACATGCTCCTTCCCCCACTGGGGAGTTGGCCCTTCAGCACTCCTCAAATTGCACCCTCGCTGTTAGCAGCTGGTGAGAGCTGACTCAGCAAGTCTGGGGGCACGGCTGCTGCTGCAAACCCCGCTGTGCCTGCAGCTTGCCCAGCTGCAGATCTGCCCAGCCCACAGCTGCCGGCCACCCGGCAGCCCGCCCCAGGAAAGGCCGGGCACCATTTCACACTTCATAAAATATAAACAGCAGCAGTGGCGTGCAGCCCTCCTGGGTGTAATGTGACCATTGTAAAACATGCCAGCTTTAACACTTAAAAGGTAATTACTTTGGCCCATTTAATATTTAAGAGAAGCAGTAGGAAAATACAGGGTCAGCACCAGCTTCGTCTCGCTCGCATGCCCACGCGTGCTGCCCAGGCAGCAGCAGGGTTTCTATTTTTAATTTCAATTCGGGAAGCATGGGGAGCAGCAGAGAAGCCCAGAGGGGCTGGACCCCGTCCCCCCATCCCCACCGCTGCCTGGGCTGGTACCTGCGAGCTGACAGCAGCGCTGCCCAGGAGCAGAGGGGAGCTGCACCACAGGCTCGCTGCCGGGGTGGGGAAGCTCAGCCTCGCCACGAGCCCCCTTCCCATGCAAGCCAGCAGCCCCGTTCACCTGCCTTCCCAAGCCCCCTCGGCTGCTCGGGGCACACGTTGTCAGCCTGTCCTTTTTCTTCCACTTATGTTGTCATTACAACATTTGCATTGCTAATGGGACAAATAAAAAAGCCCATTTGTTCCTCTTTATTACCCTGGGAGGGGACAGGGAGAGAGAGGAGGCTCCTCCTGGCTTGAATGGCTAATTTATTTGTCCCGCACTAAATTCTCCAGTCTATTCTCTGTTGACCCATTGCCTGATGTATGACATATTAAAGCCTATATATAACAAAGGGAAGAGCTGTGTAATAGCATGATTAAAGAAATCTGCCATTCTGGCTGCATTTCCCCGACTGTTTGTAATAAAGATGTCAGAGCGCTGAACAGATAGTGCCATAACTCGGCGTGCGGGGAGACAGCCCACCCGGAGCAGGAGCCATGGCGGTGATCGTAAAAACCTCCATGAAGGAGAGGCAATGTCAACAGGAACCCCTGAGCTGCCCCCCCCCCCCAGACCCTGAAAAGCCGGCCCCCCCCCCGGCCCCCTGAAAAGCCGGCAGCACTAGCTGGGCTCCAGCCAGGACTCCAGCTATTCCCAGTTTTTTCTGCTCCTGCTCCCCTGGCTCTGAACCCTGGACCATAGCCAGGACACGGAGGAAAACCCGCTCCCATGCTGAGCAGGGATGTGCCGGGGTGCAGACCCTCCGACACCCCACTGCCCGCAGGGCTGGATCTCCCTCCTGCTCCCTGCACAGGGTTTGAGCGGCTCAAAGCACAATTTCCAGCAAACCTCCTCATTTTGCAGACCCAGGCAGCAGACCATGCAGCTCTGCCCAATTTGTGCTCCAAACCGGGGTCCCCCTGCCCTTGGGGATGATGCATCGTTCTGCCTAAATCCTCTTGCCTGGGGAAAAGAAATCCTAAGGACGTCCTCCAGTGCACAGAGGCTTGTGGCTGGATGGTCACTGCGCTATGATCCAGCCCCTGGAGACTGTGTCACCTTGGTTTAGGTCTTTCCCATGAAGGCATCAGGCTTCATCAGGGCAAAACTATTGCTCCTGAGGGTTGCAACTCAAGAAGCACAGAGAGCCATCATCCTACCGAAAACAAAACATGCAAAATCAGCTGCGCTTCTGTCTACGGCAAGAAAACCCAGGTGCTGAAGAGCAAAAGGCTTTAACAAAGAGAGAGAAAAATCGGCAAGATCGAGAGGCCAGCCCTAATGCAATCCTTTCCAAGAATCATCTTGATGAACGATGCAGGAAAGCAGAGGAGCCTTTCCCGTCAGGAGTGAGGTGGCCTTTCGCTCACCTGCAGCACAGAGCTACAGCAAAGCCAGTAATTTAACGACACCCATGGCCACCGTTGGGCACCAGCCCCGGGACAGCTGCTCTGCAAAGGAAAAGCAAAGCTAAAGCAGAGGCAGAGGCTCCCTGTGCTGGGTCCTGCTCTCTCCTCTTGTCCTGGTTTCGGACCACGACACCTCTTCACCTCCGACGCCAGCAAGGCTGTCGCAGCCAGTGCTGGGGAACATGCAAGTGGCACCAAAAACACAAGCAACGATGCCTGAGCTTTCCTTGCAAACCCGTGTCCTCTGCACTTACAGGAATCCTGGGGAAAGGAGGGGCTGCAGCGGGCTCCCCCACACAGAGCGAACTGCAAAGGCTTACACTCTGCAGGCAGGTATCTGAGAGCATTGCAGGCTGGAGCTGCTGGGAGAGGAACGAGCGGCACACAGCTTCACGATGTTGCTTTATGCAATTTACTGCCCGGCCCCCTCTGTGCTCCTCTCCCGATGGCAGCCCACGCGCTGCTGGAGCACCGGGCTTGGGCTGCGCCGGCAGCAGTACCGCAGCTCCATCCCCACCGCCACGCTGGAGCCACCGGCGCATTTTTCCTTCTGCAACAGTGACCACCCCGGGGACAGATATATTTGTCACAAAAGGGAAACTCTGGCACAGTGCTAATTACGGATACGCTGTTCCCTCCTCCTTTTAGCAACAGGCAGCAATAAAAAATTAGGGTAAATCTGGGCATTGAGCTTGGGTGGAACTAAGAACAAAGTGTCATTTCCACATCAATTAAGGAAAGGTCACTACATCTCAGAGGCTGTAAAACAGCAGCGATAATGCAGGTTTAAGGCTTTTTTCTCAGCTCTGGTGAGAAAGCGATAAGTCACCCAAGACCACTCCTGATTGACATCTACGCTCAGGAAGCTGCATAATTAATGCCCGTTGGATCCTGCCAGGCGCTCTCCCTCTTACGTTTTGATGGATGCCTCCATTACTATACTTGGCTAAATGGCTTCCAGCCCTTCTGGAAACTTTCCAATTCACAGAGCTAAAAGGGTGTTCAAGGGGGTTTCATCCCTGCTGCCCCTGCCAGCCCCATCTGCCTGCAGACCCTGGAGAGACATGGCAGGGCACTGCGCACCAGCATGTGGGACCCCGGGCTCAGCCCCTCCTTCTGATCCAGCCCCGGCACGACCGAGGCCCATCTCACAAACCACTCGATGCCTCGGTTTCCTAAACAGGGATGCTCATCCTCCTGCCTCCCGAGGGAGCGATGCTGCAGCGGTGGGGCTGTGCAGGACCCAGTCTGGG